CCTTTATTTTAATCGTAGAAACTAAAAATGTAATAATATATAGGGTGTTCCATTTAAAATAATACTTTGATATTTTTTATTTATTTGGGACACAACTAATTTATACAACACTTAGAATTTGTAAAAATCTAATTGTTTAGCTCTTTGAATAAGAAAACTAAGGAAGGAGCATAATGCTATCCATGTATTCATGCATGGTGGGCGGAAAAAGCACTCTAGGGTGGGGATCCTTGACAGTTCTGTTTGACGATTCATTTGACACATTTGAATTTGATTTGAAATTTTGTGGATTTGTCAGTCTTTACGGAGCGCATTTTATGTTATTTAATATTTATTCTACTACTGATAGTTGTATAGAGGTAGTAAATCTAGTTGGAAATTGTGGCAGAACTTAAATTAACCGTGACACTATCGCGATTTATCGAAAAAGACTCTAAAATAGTTGGTTGTGTAGCGTGCTGTAGATCTCGGCAAAAATCGAGTGAAATAATAGAACAACTTTCCGCTATAGTCTATAAAATGAAAAACTTTGAATTTTGACCGTTATTTTTTACCAACATGGCAAATATAAAATCCCCCTCTCAAAAAAGTTACTGATATTCTTTAAATTGAGTGCCTGAACGAATCAGATGGGTAACTCTTTTTACTTTCGTGAAATAGAAAAGGAAAATAATAAAACAAGTGACAGTTCTTCCTCTTCTTGCAAAAATCAACACAAAATGTCATAACTGACAAAAGTAAAATGTCATCAGCTTTTGACATTTCTAAATATTAGACCAATGCCGTCTCTAATAGAACAGCCACGGAGCGAGATTTATTATGTCACGCTAGTTAGATACAACGGATTAATAAATATGTTGTAGAATACATTGAAAACATAATTATTCCTCGTATTTTTGGTTTGTATTTTAAAAATGATATAGTTTACATAAAATATACATAATATATAGTTAATAAATACAATATAATATATACCTATTTATAGTAATAAATACTTTGGCAAATAAACTATGAACCATACAAATGCAGCAAATGTTTTACAATATACAAATAATGAATAGGTGGTACATAAGATAATGGGTAAAATGTAAAATATATTTTAAATTTTGGGGTTTGAAAATCGATCTAATTTAACAAAAAACATTCAATATCTATTAATAGTGATGTATTATTATTTACATTCACAAAATTTATTTATATATTATAATGTTTACTGCAATTAATAAACTAATACAAACTTGTCAAAAGTCGACCACATATTTTTAAAAAATTATTATTCTTAACACAAAAACTATCTACAGTGACTATGGAGTACGATTTCAGCCATATTGTAAAACATTTGCTGCATTTGTATGGTTCATAATTTATCTGCCAAAATATTTATTACTATAAATAGGTATATTATTGTATTTATTAACTATATATTATGTATATTTCATGTAAACTATATCATTTTTAAAATACAAACCTAAAATACGAGGAATAATTATGTTTTCCATGTATTCTACAACATATTTATTAATCCGTAGTATCTAACTAGCGTGACGTCATAAATCTCGCTTTGAGGCTGTTCTATTATAGACGGCATTGCGTCAGCATGGCCGCAAGTTGCTAACCTAATAAAATTAACACTAGAAAAGCCCGCGGGAACTGCCAAATTCAAAGTTATTAGTTTTACAGACTATAGTAAGTGACTATATAATATACATACGTGTAGTAAACCGATCATTTATGAAATTCACTTAAATTAACTAAATTATATATTTTTCTTGCATTTTAGCTTTTATTTATTACTTGTCAAAGATTAGATATCAAAAAATTTAGATACGTTAATTTGACTTACCTGTTTCAGTAGCGTACCGGATGTTTGTGTTAATAAATACTTATTATAACTTATCTATTTGTATTAGAATTATATATTTTTATAACAATTTTAATAACTACCAACATTTATTCACAACGTAAAATAAAACAACAAATTATTGAGTCTACCCCACCTCAACCCTACATCATAGTATTACATTTTTTAAATAAAATTAGAACGACACTGATAAACCGGAATTTAAGTCGGCCATATTTGAGGCCCATCGCGGTGTACCTAAGATTTTTGACATGCTCCTTCCTTAGTCTTCTTATTCAAAGGTTTAGCTACAATAATCCTTGTCGTATGTGGTGAACAATCCTGTATTTAATAGATACATTTATATTTTTTGATATATGTCATAAAGATCATTAATATTATTTATATCAAATTTTAACACAGAAATATTATTACCAAATCACACTTAAGAAAACTTTCTTAATTTTTCTGACACAGTGACCTCTAAAACAACTGATAATCTCCTGTCACTGACCCAACCTTTCCCGTAATCCCTCGTCTAAAACGAAACAAGGTTACAAAAATGTCATGAAAGTCGTTCGGCTCGGCGCGGCCCTATCCCTGTTGCCTATCAAGGAAACAATAGAGTCCCTGCACCTTTAAATGTCCCTCGACTTCATCGTTTTCTCCCTGTCTTTCTTTGAAGGTCTCTCTGTCGTCCTTTGAAGGTCTGGCGGAAGTTGTTTAGGGCCGGCGTCGTTGCCTATAGGTGTTGCTGGTGCACCACCTCAAGGACCTCTCGACATTCTTTAATAATTACGCGGTTTTCTGTTTTAGGAAGTGACTATGTATGGAATTTTTGAGTCATATATTTTAGAGGTTTTTTGAAGATATTTGTGAGATTTAGGAATTTACCGAGTGGTTAATTTTAACAGTGAATAACATTTGAAGGAGTAGGTTTATCAAAAAATTCACAGTCCTTTACAAAGATGCAACCGGGGGGGCATTGAAAGTGATGAATAAAAAACGTAAAAATATGATTAGTGTTAATATGAGTGTATTACATACATATGTTTAGATAACGAACTTAACAAAAAACAACAGATTTAAACATTCACTGAAAAAGTGTAGTAGTAAAGAAAAGTAGTTTAGAACTCGACCTAACCTAACCAAAGTCGAGATTTTGCAAAATTTCAAAAAAGATCTCTCGAAAATAATAAATAGTGAAATGACATTTACCCTCTATGGATAAAACCCTACCTATGGTCCCATATAAACTGTATTACTAAAATAAATAGCTTTTACATATAAAGTTTTTAATTGTCGCTTTTCTTGATATACTGCCCTGATTTTATTTTATTTTTCCAGAGCACTAATACTCTCTTTATATGTTATTTTTTATTCCTAGAAGGATGATTTGAAGAAGAAATATTTCGTTCATATTATCGATGTCACTATAAATAAACCCTTGTATAATATGTTATACTTCTAGATGTTATAGTAATGCATTTTCGTATAGCAAACTTACATACCCTATTCTACTCCCTAAGGGTATGAATTTCATAAATTCCTATGTCCAAATAATTAACTCATGTCTTTTAAATGATCCTTTGTGCAAAATTTTATGTGTATAATCCAGAGGTCACGAAGGTTTATATAATTTTTTACTAACTTTACCCTTTTGGTTGATGAATTTCAAAAATCTTTTCTTATTCTTTCTGTAGAATTTCATTCTTCTAGACCAGATAGTAAATGATTTTCATACAACAAATCGTTCGACATAATTTTACACTCTAAGAGGATGAATTTTCTAAAATCGCTTTGCATAACTAATTCACTAATCACTAATGTTCTTTGAACGAACCTTTGTGCTAATATTGATGTATCTAAAGCTGGTGGTATGAACTGACCCCTAAAATATCTAAAAACTTGATATATAATCTCTATAATCTAACTGACACACCACTGACAATGACAAATAATTTATTTCTAGAGGTATTTTGTGTAGGTGTTTTTCAGGTATGTTTTAATATTTATTCGTTTTACATAAAGAAATACCGATTAAACGATATAATAATACTTCATAACAAATCTAGACATATATACCTTTCATTTAAAAAAAGAATCATCAAGATTGGTGAGGCAGTTTCGGCGGGATGGATGTAACAAAAAAACCCTTTGAGCTTTTGTATATGTATCCCACTTCGGTGTCCAAAGCTGAATTTTTCAGGGAAGGAAGTACAAGTACATAATATGGGGACCCTTATTCCAAAAGTAGTACAAAATTAGACCCGGAAAAAGGGCACTATCATCAAAAATCGATATATTAATACCACCGTATAGAGAAAACAAATACTTATTTTTTGATCCAGTACAAAATAAAGCCTTCGTAGGGAGTAATTTTTTATAATTATTTACAAAAAAACATTTCCATTGGCGCTTATGACCGAAAAAAACTTTAAACATGAATAACTCATTTCAATCATGCGAAAATTTGGTTTAAAAATTAACTTTTTTAAATATAACTTTCATTTAACGAAAAACGAAGGCCTAAATAAAAAAAAAGAAACAATTTATCAGTTTCGCTTATGTCTTGACAAGGTAACAAAGCAAACCCCATATTTTTTGCTTTTAAACTAATAAATATATATCAATAAACAATTAGCGATGTCCGACTGCCGCCGCCGCGCCGAGATTTCCTATACGTGTGATGACGTCATGGTGTGGCAAATGTAGCATTTTAATTCGATTTGGGCTCCCTTATATAGGATAACAGAAACATTTTAAATGTTAAAATTGTAAGATACCTTTTTTGTAGAGAGTTCAATTCTGTATCAGAATATGTAATTTCATGGCTATGAGAGAACAAAATCGAGAGAAAAAAAATTATTTGCAAAAAGTAGCAAAATCCCATGTAATTTAAATGGGAAATCGTCTTTGAGGTAAGGTTTATTGTGAATATTAAGGGTTTACAATATTTTTTAGACATTAAACTAAAAATTTAAAGGGCGTCGTGGGAGAAATAATCAACTTCGTAAATAACGGACACCCTAATAGTCAGTGATATTGACAATAAATATTTTTTTATTTTCTAGATTTCTTTTTCAATGCGAAAAACATTTAAATTTCTTTTATAAAAAAAATTGTTTTTGTTTTTAATAATCTTGATTTTCTTTTTCAGAGAGATTCCCGAAGCAGCCGTCGAATCCCGAAAACTAAACCACCTCTACGAGATCTCGGCTCAGGTTACCATGCCCGAATTAGAGAGGCCGGAAGAGTTCTCCTGCAAGCTTCATATTCCGCAGGCGAATTACACGACGCGCAGAGAAACAGTCTTTTATCCAGGTGGGTTCTAGGGTGACTGACGAATGGGTTGGCTACGAAAATAGAGAGAATAATTAGTAATTAGGCTCCGATTTCTCGCAAACTAACTTTCGAGAGCAGCGTAAAAATAATTATATAGTTTTTGGGGGGCGTGTTTGAAAGATGCAGTGTAGTAAAATCTGGCGAGTTTCTTTGCGATGATTAAAATTATACAGTAAAGTTTTAAGTTATACGCTTTATAATTTATACTTTAATAATTGGGCTAATTATTTCAAATGTTTTTAGAAAAGCTAAAAATTGTGTTCAAACCAACTACTATTACTTTATAAAGCGAGTATTTTAAATAATAAACAACACCCATATATTTTATAGAGTTTTCATCTAAAACATCTAAAGTTTGAAATTACAAAAATTTTTGATAAAAATAATTTTATTATAATTTTTTGACTATGATCCTCATTTTATTACATCTTTTCAATCTTATTTCTTTTTCTTTTTTATAGATAATTTTTTACAAATAAACCTTCTAAACCCCCACTTTTAGTTATTACCTCATTCCATGGGTTAGGACAAAACTATTTTATGCAAACTAAAAATAAGCAAATAATAATGAAGGCTTAGCGTTCATAATAATATATTACCGGATTTTGCAGGAGGTTAACCCCGACCAAACTTTTTTACAACCTCCATATCTGAAAGACCAGTAAGATAAAGGAACTTTTCTATTATCCGGAAATAGTTTCCCTTGCAATGTTCTTAAGATAAGCTACAAGACATTGAAAGTAGAAAGTTAATGAAAAAGATCAATGATGAGATTTTATATATTTTAAATTTATCTGGAATATATTAAGAGCTTGCTTTAGAGATAAAACTAAATTTCAACAAGATTTAACTAAATACAAAACAAAAAATATAGAGAAACTCTAAAGAGATGTTTTAGAGCAGAAAATATATCAGTTCTAATATACACGGTGGTCCGAACTGTATTTCTTAATCTTCGGCAGCACATTCTGCAGATAAAAATAAGTTAAAAAGTTCGTATAAATGTGTGTCCTAAAATGCTTAATTTCGGAGATACTGGGTTTAGAAATTTCATTTTTATTTCGATTTTTTTCAAATAATTTCTGAATTAATGTCAATATTTGGAAGAAAATTGGGGTCTGGAGGTTTTTTGGCAAGGGAAATTTGATTTTGATGTCAATATGACTCCTATTTGTAGGGGGCGCCACCTACATGTGCTTTAACTGTTTGAAGAGTAATAACTTTTTGTCTGTACCTGTATAAAAGTACTAAGTAAAAAAATATACATTTTCATGATTTTCTACGTAAAAAATGTCTCTTGGTAAAAATCGCTACAAGCAACCATTCCCAAGATATTTAGAATGGAAATAGTCAATACATTATTGACAATAATAAATATTTTAAGTAGATAGTTATTTCACTAAAATGATTAATTTGTGAACTTTTTGTTTTTTTAAATTAATTGTAAATTTTTCTTCGAAAAAATGACGATAAAACAGTTTCTGTTGAACTTTTGGCACAAAACATTTCAAATGTATAATTTCAATCTAATAACTATTTAGTCAAGATGCTTAATGTATATCAATAACAGGTATTAATAATTTTGATTTAAAATATCTTGAGAACCATTACTCGTAGCGATTTTTACCAAGAGACCTTTTTCAAATAAAAAACGTCTTAAATGTATATTTTTTTACTCAGTACTTTTATAGAGATACAGGCAAAAAGTTATTACTTTTCAAACTAGTTAAAAAATATGTAGGTGGCGCCCTCTACAAGTAGAAGTCATATTGACATCAAAATCAAATTTGTCATGTCAAAAAACTTCCAGTCACTAATTTTCATCCAAATATCGATGTTAGTTCAGAAATTATTTGAAAGAAATCGAAATAAAAATGAAACTTCTACACCCTGTATCTACGAAACTAAATATTTTAGGACACACATTTACACGACCATTTTTTTACTTCTTTTTATCTGTAGAATAGTTGTCGAAGTTTTCGGAATACAGTTCGGACAACCCTTCTTCTCTATCTATAGCGATTTACCGCGCCATAAAGATTTTTACCAGGAAATAATAGAAAAGAAACAAGAACAATCAAGTCCGCGTACTCCATTTTCAAATCTAATAATCCTCCTTTATTTATTTTTCCCTTTTTTCGGTCCCGAGGCTGTTCCTCTCCCGCACACAATCTCACGTCACACGAGACGTATCCTCGGTCCAATCTGGCCCGGCCAGTTGCTCCATCCAATTTCTTCCTAGTCCGGCGCTACGTTCGCAAACACCAGAAGACTTTAATCACAATAAAGCTCGGCGCTGGGGGCAGCCTTGCCGGCCAAAGCTGACGCGTTTCTCCCTCTCTGTCTTTTTCTTGCTTTCTACCGCACTTCAATGTTGCTGTCTCATGACCTCGTGTATCACATTTCGCAGAAATGAAACTTTAAACTGGAGAGTGATTCACTGGGGAGTGTAATGGGAGTAAGGAAAGAAGGACAAATAAAGGGAAATAAGGGTGCAAATGAACAGAGGCCTGCGGGGAAAGAAAAAAAGGGTTATTTTTAATGTGGTTTAAAAAATCACAAAGGGCAATTTGGTGTCTAAAATTTAGGTCACGGATTTTAAGTGAAACAAAATTATGTTACGTCAAAAAGGTTCAAAAAGTTGTTTTTTTTTGTAGAATTCGGGTGAAATAATTCAGATTTTTAGTTTAGTAACATGTCATAAAGTTTTGTGAAATACTTTGGCAAGACAATATCATAATAGAATAGTGCTTTGAAAAATAATATATTTGTCGAAACGTTAACTTCATTCTAAACTAAAAACTTGAGTTTTATTTGAACCATATCCAAAAAAAATGTAACTCGTTTATTTTTTCATTACGATCTTTATTTTATGTTATTCTCCGTTTTTTTATAGTAGTATTATTTTAAAAAGTCTTGATTTAAATTTTCTTAAGTCTCAAATTAAAAAAAATCCAACCAGAAAATGTTTATCATAATTTTTCTGGCTACGATAAACATTTTTATATCCTTTTGATTTCCTTTCATTTACTGTTCTAATAGACCAATTTTTTACAGGATTTTACAAATAAACCTTCTTAAATCCACTTTTAGTTATTACTACAAGCCATCAGTTAGGACAAAACTATTTTAAAAGATAAGAAAATAATAATGAAGGCTTAGCGTTCATAATAATATATTACCGGATTTCGCAGGAGCTTAACTCCGACCAAACTTTTTTACAACCTCCATATCTAAAAGACCCGCAAGATAAAGGAACTTTTCTATTATCCGGGAATAGTTTCCATTACAATGTGACTTGTTTTTATACAATGTTTTAAGATAAGGCTACAGGACATAGAAAGCTGAAAGTTAATGAAAAAGATCTAGGAAAAGATTTTCTGTCGTTTAAATTTAGATGAAACGTATTTTTAGCTTAGTTTAAAGATAAAATTTAGGTTAGGCAAGATTAAACTACATAAATATAGACAAGTAGTAAATAAATATTTGAAAGATAGCTTAGTAGTAAATTATATCAGTTCTAAGAAAAATTTAAGTAGAAATAAAACAAGATATTTTTAATCACATCAATCGCTTCTATACTAATAAGTATGTAACAAGTTAAATAAATTTTCTTTTTTTGTAATAATACAATAAATGAAACTTCTTTACTCCCATAACACTACATGACCTTGACCATGCCTTGACACATAAACTAGCCAGAAGAAAAATGGTAAGGTTCGCGCAAACACCAAAAACATTTGATTTAAAGCTATGAAAAACATAATAAACTTGATACTGTACCTGGGTACCAATATCCTCTGGTTGTGATCTAGGAAGTACATTTTCATGCATATTTTCATCGATAGGTTTTTAGCTTTTGAATAACGGTCTAGGTAAAGCATTTAGCTCATTTACGAGCTCAGAATTAGAGTTATCAGAGTTAAGCAATTGGCATTTTCATTGGAGGACATCATCGTATTTATTTCAAACCAATAATCAACGAGAATATTCGTATAATTTAACAAAATTACTGTAAACTACTATAAATCAGACTTGGGCCGAATACTGAAATCCGGTATTCGAATATGAATCCTGAATACTGTATTCTAAATTGTATTCGAATACTCAAGATTCGAATATAAAGAAAAAAATTATTCGAATACCACTGTATTTGAATACCTGGATTCATTTACATACGAATACTTTTTAAATATTCCAACAAAAAAAACATATCCGTACTTTGAACTTGATTTTTATTTACGTGCTTAAGTTATAAAAATATGGAACACAATAAGGTAACAAAAAATAACTGTACATATAGCAAAAAAAGCTTATCTTAAAAAAATCTTAAATAATAAATAAAACTTAAAACAAAAATATTTTAATTTTAATTAAAAAAAACTCTTAACGGCGCATTGGTACTTTACTTACATAGATATAAACAGGCAAAGCACAGAGACAGTCTTGTCTCTGCGAAGAACATCAATAATTAACAAGTTTAAACAAGTAACGTGTTTAACGTTAATTAACGTGTTTTAACAAGCTTAAGTTGCGTAAAGCGTAACGCAATCTTCATAAACAAAATCAAACAGGATTCGAGTACGGGATTTCAATACAGTATTCGAATACATACCGGGATTCCATTACAGGATTCGAATACCGGGATTCGAATACAGGATTTGAATACTGGGATTCAAAAACGGTATTCAGAATCCAGAATACTCATTACTGACCAAAAAAGTATTCAGTCGAATATCAAATACCAAATACACAAATGTATTCGAATAGTATTCGAATACCAGTCAAAAGTATTCTGAATAGGATTCAGAATACCGAGTATTCGAATACTACCCAAGTCTGCTATAAATACGAATTGTTGGTTAGGTTCACAATTTCTTCTCTTCTTAAATAAATTTAAGCGTTAACATTGTAGCATTTTTTATTTCCTTTAATAAAATTGAATTTAAAATTCTATTTTTATCTAAATTTCTTAGTAT